TTCTTTCTTTCTTTCTTTCTTTCTTTCTTTCTTTCTTTCTTTCTTTCCTTCCTTCCTTCCTTCCTTCCTTCCTTCCTTCCTTCCTTCCTTCCTTCCTTCCTTCCTTCTTTCTTTCTTTCTTTCTTTCTTTCTTTCTTTCTTTCTTTCTTTCTTTCTTTCTTTCTTTCTTCCCTCTCTCCCTCCCTCCCTCCCTCCTTCCTTTCTTCCTTTCTCTCTCTCTTTCTTTTTCTCTTTCTTCTTCTTCTCCTCTTCCCCTCATCCTTGTCTTCTTCTATCCACAATATTTAATGCTGACACTATAACTAAGTATTTACTATATTGATTTATGTTAATCTGTAAGGTTGTAAGATATAGTCCAGATATATCCACTAAAATTAGCTAATGGACCAGCTATTTCCTGCTGTGTGTGCCCTGATCATCAAGACATTTTATTTTGTAACTGCAATATCTGGTCTATCTCTTTTCACAGCCCTCTGAAGCCAAAGCAAAGGCAATTGAAAAGGTTGATGATCTCCTTGAACTGTACATGGGAATTCGAGATATTGACTTAGGTAAGACTATACTGTGTAAATTCTGTGCTGTTTACAAATGATGCCCAATTATACTTTTCAAGATAAAAAGTACTTGTGGAGTACAAGAACATGAAATCAGTAAACAATAATCATCTACTCAGTTACTTGTTGTGCTGTATTAGTGCTAAGCCAACTTTTAAAATTTTAGCCATACTGGGTGTAGTGGTCTGTGCCTTTCATTCCAGCACTTGGGAGGCAGACACAGGTGGATCTCTGTGAGTTCAAGGACAGCTTGATCTACAGAGTGAGTTCCAGAACAGTCAGATCTACATAATAGAGAGAAACCCTATCTCAAAAAAAACTCCAAGAAATTTAGTTACTTTTTAACCTAGACACTGTGAATAACAATACCACATTTACCATGCTCTGTGGGTTAAAATATACATGAAAATACATAGATAAATGATGCATATAGAAAGTTTTCTTATCTGGCATGCCACATTGTGCACTATGATATTGAAGTTGTATGTCATTTAATAGGATTCCTGGAATAGGAAAAACAAGACACAGAACTCCTGAATAAGTTGGCTTGACACTGGGATTTCTGGGCAATTTCTTACATTACTATTAATGTGTCAAGCTCTTGATTTATCAACTAAAACTTTGCCAATAGCAAGTATTGCAAAACAAAACTAAAGCAAAGAACCCCAATTCCAACTGTATTTAAGGAAGAAGTAAAAAAATGAGAGAAATTTATGGGTTTTATAACCAAAACGTCCAGAATGGACCTTGTCTTCAAACCTGGCTAGCTCTGGGGCCCGGAGAGATGGCTCAGAAGATAAGAGCACCTTTCCCTGTTGCTGCGGAGGGTCTGGGTACAGCTCCCAGCACTCACGCGGGAGCGCACAACCACCGGCAGCTCCAGCTCCAGGGGTTCTGGTGCCATCTCCTGGCCTCTGTGGGCACTGCACACACGTGGCGCCCCTACCTCTGGGCAGCGAAAGCACTCCTACAAAAAAGAACCCAGGATGGGCGACTCCAGGATAAGATGGATAAGATGGTGTGTGAGCAGCTCCCCTGTGTGCTGGGAAGAGTTGGGACAACAAAGAACAAACTGTCACCAGGAGGGGAAGAATAGAGAAACACTGGAAATCCATAAAGGGGGAGAGAGGACACCTGAACAGAATGGGAACACTGAAAGGTACCTCAGGAAAAACAAAAGCCACAGTCTTAAAGCTTGTGTGGTTCCTGGTAGTGGGGTAAAGGAGCAGAAGCCTCATGCCAAGGGTAAGGCAAGAACAGGAAATGCCTGCGGCCCTTGCTAGCCCAGATACAGCTGGGGTGCTCGATGTGACAGTGGTTCCTCAGGATGACATGTCAGCACTTGTAGAGGAGGGCCACTGGGTCACTCCCCACATCTCAAAGGGCTGTGCCTGGGTGCCATTGCTCCAAGAGGTGCTTGCTCAAAACTGAGCCCCCTGAGCTCTGAGAACAAAGAGCCATCCCAAGTCAGGGTTAGCAATTACAAAACGTTAACATGGAAATGGCAGGTTCAGCAGAAAGGAGCTGACATGGAATTGCTCCTCCGAAAATACTTTGTTAAAAGATGAGAGGATTGCAGGCAGGCCTTCAGGTCCAGAGAGGAGCCGTTAGGAGAGATGGCTGATGGTTGGTGCATTTCACGATGGGGACGTGCAGGAAGGAGGCTTGATCTCCTCAGAGTAAATGTTTTTTGTTTTGTCTGTGTGTGTGAGTGTGTGTGTGTGTGTGTATGTGAGAGAGAGAGAGAGAGACAGGCAGACAGAGACAGACTGATATACACATATAGAGACAGACACAGAGAGAGAGAGAGAGACAGGCAGACAGAGACAGACCGATATACACATATAGAGACAGACACACAGAGAGAGAGAGACAGACACACACACACACACAAACACACACAGATGCATAGCTTTGCAGCGGTGTGGTGGGAAGTTTCACACATGTGACCTAACCTGGCCTCACCTGCTTAACTCCTGTCCTGGAGAGGGGCAGTAGTTAGGACTGTTCAATAACATATGGAAAGCTCCTTCATGACTGTCTACATCCCTTTCCATTATTAGTGTCACAAACCCTACTGTTACACAATGTGTAGAAGAACATAACCGTATCTGATTTTTTATGGATCAGTCACTTTAGTTACATAACAGCAACATGAGGAGTTACTAAGCAAACGTGTGAAAATGCCACGTTAAGTTAATAATTTAAAAACAGAATTGTTCTATACAGTCTACAAAAAGTTTGTACATGAATGTTGAAAGCAGCTCCAATTTTTGTGTGTAATCTTTTGAGTTTGACATTTGCGTTTTAGTTTAAACTGATTACAGTTTAAAAAATAAAGTTTGTTTCTATTAAAAAAAAAAAAAAGAACACAGACAAGCAGTTACAGCGGATGGATGGGCCGGCCATCCCTTCCTCCAGACTGAGGCTCTGTCTCAGCGGGTGCTTGTTCTTGGTTCTCAGGGGTTGGCTGCAGCAGGGTGGGGCCTGATCTCCTACAGGCTTCTGCATCTAGTCACTGAAAGCAGTAGGCCCTTGCTCTAATGGTCAGGGAGCTAGAAACCAACCTACTACAGGCCCTGCCTGACACAGCCAGAGGAGACTGTGTGTCTCAGGAGACACAGAGCCCGGGAGGACGGCAGTGGAGCATACAGTGAGCGTGGTCTCACCCTCAGTGTCTGGAGCTGGCCTCATTATCTGGGAACCCTGAACCTGGATCAACCCAGGGCCACCTGTGGCTGCCACAGGGGCTGAGACCTCTGCGGTCCGAGACACTTGGCACCTGCAGCCTCCTTCCCCTTCAGGGCGTTTAAGGCCTAGAAGGTTTAAAAGTTCAGAGACAGGTCTGCCCACACAGATCTGAGCTGTGTTTACTTCTCTCACTCTTGACACACTGGGGAGACAGTTCCTCAGTGTGAGCGGAGAGGTTTGGGAGGCACAGGGGACCCTGCCTACCCCCACAGAACACAGAGCTAGATGGAGTTAGCAGAAGCCCCTCACGTGCAAAGAAGCCACGGAAGGGAAGGAAGGCAGTGAGGGGCACAGCTGACATGCGACCCGCAGCACACAAGTGGCAGACACTGTAGGAAAGACAAGCCTCTGCAAGGCCAGCTGCTGGCCTGACAGGCCCCGGCTTGTCCTGGTCTTAAAGGACCTATAGCCGCTCTGACACCAACCTGCTTTTCTATCCCTAGTTTTTATCCATTTTTTCTTTTCATTATGCTTTCAGTATAACATTACTTTACCTTATTTCTAAAAGCTTTTATGTTTATATTATTTCTATGGTTTTGCTTATGTGTGTTTTTTTTAAATTATTGGGTAATCTCCTTTTGACTTTTGTTTTCTGTTATAAAAGTTTTCTTTCAACTTTCCCTGTAACCTTACTGTTCATTGTTTCCTCAACCTTGTGCCTCTTCTGGCTTCTCCCTCCCCTCCACCCTTGTATTTTCTCATTCTTGTCTCTACACTCACTTTGGGTAATTTAAACCTCATCTTGCAGTCTACTTGGCCCGTTTCAGTTTTCTGGTAATTGCTGCCATCTTGCTAGGTTTTAATCTACGTGCATCACTGTATCTCACTCGCTGGGTTTGCAGCTGTGGCTGTTTCAGGAACTTGTTGGAGGTTCTGGAACTGAACCTTAAGAGCAGGCTGCTCACTAGGCCGGATAAAATGGATGAGGCATACAACCAACAAATGCACACCCCTCAGCACAGAAACACCAGAAACCCAAAAGCCCAGACGGTGAGACTCTCAGCCAGCCAAAAGCCCAGACTCTCAGCCAGCCAAAAGCCCAGACTCTCAGCCAGCCAAAAGAGCTAGATCTCCAACAGCCGCACTAGAGGTGAGTCAGAGGGTGAAGTGCCAGATAAAGGCTTTAAGAGCTTGCGTGTAAAGATGGACTGGGACTTCACACAAGATGCATGAAAGCAGATAAATGAAGTAAGAAAACCAATCTTGAGTGCAGAAAAGAAGGTCAGTAAGATGGAAGAGAAATTCAGCAAGAAAATTGAAGTTTTGGAAAAAGAAAGGTTCCAGGTGCTCTGGTGCACGATTCTAATCCCTGCCCTCAGGAGGCGGAGGCAGGGGGATCCCAGTGAGTTCCAGGACAGCCAGGACTGCATAGTGAGATCCAGGATCAGAGACCAGACCAAACAAAGAAACAGAAAGAAATACTGGAAATGAAAACTTCAATGAATCAAAAACAAAACCAAACCTGAATAAAGCCACAGCGGACAGCATCACCAACAAACTAAATGAAACAGAAAAAGAATGTCGAGATCAGACTAGGTTGACACGGCTGGCCTAGTGCCAGGGGATCTGGCACCCTCTTCTGGGTCTGTGGGGACTGCACCCTCACATATTCAGATAAATAGAGGTAAAACCAACCTGGTATGTATGGAATCCTGAAGAGGCATGGTAGCTCCTGGAACTGAAATTACAGGTCGTTGGGAGTTGTGGGTGCTGGGAATTGAACCTGAGTGCTCTGAACCGTTGAGCCGTCTCTCCAGCCATGGCCCCTCCCCCAGTAAAACAAATCTTTAAACAATTATTTTACTTAAGTGTGTGTTTTGCCCGTGTATATATTATGTGCACCGTGTGTATTTTCGGTACCTTCAGAGGTCACAGGAGGGCGTCGGATCCCCTGGAATGGGTGATTCTGAGCCACTGTCTGAAGGCTGGGACCAGAACCTGTGTCCTCTGCAAGAACAAGTGTTGGAAATACATGAGCCGTCTCTCAAGTCCTAAAAATTAAATCTTTTTTTTTTTTTTTTTTTTTGAGATAGGGTTTCTCTATGTAGCCCTGGCTGTCCTAGACTGGCTTTGTAGACCAGGCTGGCCTTGAACCCACAGCTATCCGCTTGCCTCTGTCTCCCTGAGTGCTGGGATCAAAGGTGTGGGCCACGACACCAGGCTTAAAAATTAAATTAAAAAAAATACAAATATAGTACAGCAGAGTGTTGGATAACAGTGCAGATGATTATAAATAAATTTAAGATATAAGTCTTTAAAGATTAATTTTCTGGGTTGATGAGATGGCCCATCAGGTAAAGGCACTGTCACTAAGCCTGGTGAACACACACACACACACACACACACACACACACACACAATGAAGAAATAAATGTAATTAAAAAATTAAAAAAAAAAGAATGAATTTTCTCTTGTGCTCAGATTTAAACCATTAAATATTCATGGAAATCACTCAGTGGTCCCTTGTCAGTTTAATTAAATATCTGCAGCACATTCCTTTGATTGACACAAATCCATCAGTAACAGGATCTGTCACTCAGGCAAAGTGTAAGGAAGGCAAGTATTTGAAGAATGTCAGCCACTGCTAAATTAGGAATTTTTGTTTTCAGACATGGTTAGCATGAAATATACTTCAGAAATGTGAGCCTAATTTAGCAGACAAATGAATACCTTAATTCTCTGCATTCCCAGTAGTTCTTGGGTTCCCAGAAACTTTCTTTCTTTCCTTCCTTCCTTCTGCCTGTGAAATGTATTATAGCCCATGGGCCACAGGTTAGATACAAATGCAAATTTGTAACTTCACAAACTTAGAATGATCTTATAACCACATACTGGGAACTAGTAATTACTCTGATGTCCCTCCACCCAGTGTCAGGAACATGGAAATGCACTTAACACGGGTGTAATCTTTTCCTCCCCTCTGCTCACTAGCAGCTTGGGTAAAGCTTAACTCTCCTAGCCAGGTTACCTCCCCTAGAGGAACAGCGAGGCTGTTATACCTCCCAAGAGCTGTGTTTCAGTGCCACCCTGCCACCCAGCTTCAAATGACTGTAGAAAGTTGTAAAGTAAGCTGTGAGGTGTGATTTTTTTAACCGGCCAAGCTATCCTGCTACCATGAGATGTTATCTGTAAGGAAAGATCTGGAAGCTCTTGAGTTCCCTGGACTGATCTAACATCATCCTGCGTTCCTTCTGGAAGCTCTAAGACAGCAGTTACCTGCCTATGGGCCTACAGCGTTTTCCATACTGACTTAGGATTTTAGAACTAATTTTTAGCAGTTTCAGAATTTAAAAATTTATTCTATTATTCCAGAAATATGTGGGAAGGCAATTCAAACGGTGGTTTTTAAGTTGTTTCCCCACGGTTCCTTTTATATGATGCTTCACTGTGAGAGACATATTTCTTCCTTAGGCTCCCTGCGCTGGTCAGGGAGGCAGTGTGCACTGTGACAGGCTCCTCCTAAGTTGAGGTCAGTGGGATCTGGAGTAGTTTTTATTAAACATGCTCTGCAGGGCGGGAGGCGTGGCCTGTCAGGTAAGAGCTCTGGCTGCTCTTCCGAGAACCTGCCCGAGTGGCAGCTCTCCATATCTGTAACACCCAGTCCCAGGGGATGCACCGCCCTCTTCCGGCCTCCATAGGCACTGCACATACAGGGTGCACAGACACACATGCAGGCGGCGCACACACACACACACACCAGATAAATAAAATATTCTTAAAAATATGCATTGTAGGGCTGAGGGTAGAGCATCTTCTTGGCATCCAGAGCTTGGATCTCAGCACCACACACACAGACACACAGACACACACACACACACCACATATACACATGCACACATAGACATATATACACACACACACACTCATGTACATATACACATACAATAAGGATTTTAAGTAATAGGTTAATTTTTTTATTTTTCATCTTTCTCTCTTATTTTAAAGATTTATTTATTATTCCTACCGTATTCTGCCTGCAGGCCGGTAAAGTGCACCTGCTTTTGTTATAGATGGTTATGAGCCACTCTGTGGTTGCTGGGGATTGAACTCAGGACCTTTGAAAGAGCAGGCAGTTCTCTTAACCTCTGAGCCATCTCTCCAGGCCAATAGGTTAATTTTTATACCTAAAAGTTGTTCAAATATTTACAAGCGCAATGGAAACCATTTGCCGGTCCAAATTTTGTGGTGAGAGGAGCATAAAAGTATTCTTTGAGTGGCCACAAGAGGTCAGCACTTCGCTGTTTTTTTTTTTTTTTTTTTTTTAATCCTCTTTCTTGTCAGCGTTTGTGACTGCCCCAGGAAAAGTGTGGGTGGACTCTGTGGGCTTCTAGTTCCTGGGGAAAGTCCTTTGGGAATGTGTCCTTACGACGCCGTTTCCCAGACATAGAACATAGGGCTTAAGTAATTTCCTATGGAAGGCAGACCATAGCAGCGTGATTTTCTATCCTACACCAGAAGGTGCTCAAGGAAGACGCCGTAAGACTCAAACTGCTGTGTGGCACGCTGTAAGCTGTTCCCTTGGTGAGGAGAGCATATGGTTCATTGAGTCAGGGGTGGGGGCGTGGAGGGGAGAGGCAGAGAGTGACTGTGGGGGACGAGCTGTGGTGTGCGCTAACTTTCCTCGTTAGCCGTGGGGTTTTCACAGCATGTCTTCACCCATCTGAAAGGCAGAGGGTTGCAGAGGACTCAGAAAGCACTTCCCGTAGAAGCACAGGCTGGATCCACACAGCCCAGGTGAAAATGCTAGATGTGGTGGTGTGTGCATTAAAACCCAGTGCTGGGGAGTGGGGACACTTCCACTTCCCATGGCCCCTGAGTGAGGATTGAGCTTCTCACCCAGGGTCCTTCTTGCGTAGCTTCCTTAGCTGTACAGATTTCAGCATAGTTATCCTATCTTATAAGTCTATATAAGTGAGTATATACTGTGTGTGTCTTTCTGCTTCTGGGATACCTCACTCAGAATGATCTTTTCTAGTTCTATCCATTTGCCTGCAAATTTCATGATTTCCTTGTTTTTAATTGCTGAGTAGTATTCCATTGTGTAAATGTACCACAGTTTCTTTATTTATTCTTCGGTTGAGGGACATGTAAGTTGTTTCCAGATTCTGACTATTATGAATAAATAAAGATTTAAGCTGCTATGAACATGGCTGAGCAGATGTCCTTATTGTGTACTTGAGCGTTTTTTGGGTATATGCTTAGGAGTGGTATAGCTGGATCTTGAGGAAGCGCTATTCCTAATTTTCTGAGAAAAGCACCAGATTGATTTCCAAAGTGGTTGTACCAGTTTACATTTCCACCAGCAGTGGAGGAGGGTTCCCCTTTCTCCACATCCTCTCCAGCATGTGTTGTCACTTGAATTTTTGATCTTAGCTATTCTGGTGGATGTGAGGTAAAATCTCAGGGTCGTTTTGATTTGCATCTCTCTGATGGCTAAGGACGTTGAACATTTCTTTAACATTTCTTGAATATTTCCTCTGTTGAGAATTCTCTCTTTAGCTCTGTACCTAGACCCCCCTGCTCAGATATAGCCCATGGTAGCTCAGTCACCATGGGGATTTCCTAGTAAGGGGAGCAGGGGTAGTCTCTGGCATGAACTTGGTTGCCTGCTCTTTGATCACCTGCTGCTGTCCAGGTGACCTTACCAAGCCACAGAAAAAGAGGATCCAGACAGTCCTGATGAGACCTGTTAGGCTAGGGCCAGATAGTGGACTAGAGGAGAGGAACATGGTGAGAGTGGGACTGAGAGGAGATGAGGGAGGGGGCTGCAACTGGGATACAAAGAGAATAAGTTGTAATAATAAAATACTACTACTACTATTATTAAAAACAACAACAAAAAGAAAAAAAGAGGTGGATGACATTTCAGGCTGCACTCTGGCCTCTGTCTGCGCATGCACAGAGCCCATACCATACACAACAAAACAAAACAACCTAAAGCAAGTGCAGAGACCCCCCAAGTGATAGGCTCTCAGGTTGGGACAAGTGCTAACATTCATATCGACACAGTGGGCAGGTCACTGAAATGGTGGAAGTGTGTGTGTTACTTTGGGGTAAGTCATTGTTCTAGTAACCTTTTTATCAGTTGTCTGATGCTAATTCACGGCTCATTAACTTTTAAAAATGATTGTTGACAGCTACAACCATGTTTGAAGCTGGAAAAGACAAGAGAAACCCAGACGAATTTGCTGTGGCCCTCGATGAGACGCTGGGAGACTTTGCCTTTCCTGATGAGTTTATGTTCGATGTGTGGGGAGCCGTGAATGACGTGAAACAAAGCAGATGACGTGTGGGCAAGCTTGCTGCAGAAATGACCTGAGTCCGCTTGAAGGCAGCCCTCTCAAGACCCTTAGATACCTTTACGAACTCTGCTTTAGCGTCATGTGTATGAGATACAGTCTTTGAAATGTAATTTGGATTCATGGATAATGTTTAATATATATAAATCCTATGTAGTATGCTTAAGATAAATTAATTAAAGTGTAATCCATTTCAGTGTTTGTTCAAAAGCTTTTAGATTTTTTAAAGGAGAATGTCTATATGGGTGATTTTGTTTGCTGTTGACATTCAGGCCTCACATTCCACATAAAATACTTGACTACGACAGCTTTGTGGGTTTTTTCTTCAATACCTTTTAACAATTGTGCATTCCCTGTTACATATATGTGCTTGTCTGTATGTGTACGCTGTGCATGCAGTGCTTAAGGAGCCAAGAGAGGGTGTCCTTACCTGTCTATAACTCTCCAACTGGAGTTACACACAGTTGTGAGCTGCCATGTGGGTGCTAGGGACCAAACCTGGGTCGTCTGTGAAAGCAGCCAGTGTTCTCAAGTGCTGAGCCATCTCTCCAATCCCCTTTCCTCCAAACCTTAATATGATGGGAATTAGGATCAGAGTCTGGCTTACCTCATGACATCTCACCTTTGTTGTATTATCTTGAACAGGGTACATTTAGAAATGAAATGCAGGTGATGTCTGCCATAGGGCTAGAAGCTTGGTGTTTGTTTTTAAATGAACAAGAGCAGGGAGGAAAGTCTGCCTAATTGTTTCCTGGGACATTTGTTGTAAAACAAAGGCTGTATGTATATATATATATATATATATATATATATATATATATATAT